TCCTCGCCTTTCTCTTCTGGTCTTTTAAGGCAGATGTTTCTTGAAGCTCTCCAACAGCTTATTTCTTAGTCAGTGCTGTTTTATATCTGTTACTCCATTTACTTCATACATGATTATCATGAGTAAGAAAGATTAGATTCATGTGGCCACTAAAATGAAGAGAAATAAACTTAAGCAAAATCTGAGTGGATCAAAACAGATATGCTGGCTGTTTCCTTCTAGGAAAGGAGAACATAGAGGAGGAAGGAGCAAAGAACAGTGAAGACTGCCCTCACATTTGTATCTAGGCTTTTTCAGGAAACCCTCATTCTTAGTCTTCATTTAGGACTGGCCAAATCTGTCAGATCCTAGGAAAGTTATAACCTGGGAGAATGAGGTTAGATAGTGTTGTGATAGAGAAAAGCAGCAATCTCAAACACTGCTTGATAACATAGAGCTCAGATAATGCCTTTGCCTAAATTAGTTACAGAAAATAGGTTGATAATGTGAAACACTTCTTTATTTTTATTATAATTAGCAATGCCCTGCTTTGTTCACTATTTGCAGTGTCCTGATGTTTGATTCATACTTCCATCTATAGCTCTTTTATGAAGACTTCATAAAAGGACAGTATATTAATTCAAAGATGTTCAATATTGATCAATATTCATTGCAAAGCAATTGCAAACACACAATCTTTCTTTTTCTATTGACAGCATTAGTCAGATTTTTTGTCTAGTCCTGAATCACACCCTGCGTCTAAGGCTGATTTCATGCCAGTGTAAAACAGGACCAACTGTGCAGAAGGTCAAGTGCGATACATCAGTGCAAAAGCAGTGTAAGCAAGATTGATCTTAGTGGCTGTGAATTTTGGGAAGTTTGTCTTCATGGCACAACTAAAACTTTATGACTGTGACTTGTCTTCATCCTTGAGTTTCCCTTAAAAGCTCTGCACGTGAGAAACAGCGGTAGGGCTCTCAGCACAGGACCACATTCAGAGGCTTACCTGCCTGGCAACATTAAGAAGTCCTTCATGCGGTAAGGCAGGATCTGATCCTGGAAACATAAAAGCATTACCCTGGTTCCAGGACTGGTAAATCAGCATCTGGTATTGGCAGCCCTCAGTGAGAGAGGCACTCCCTCAAGCATTTCTTATTTGGCTAGAGTGGGAAAGTGTACACTGTATTAAATTTGGCATGCAAGACAAGATATACTCCAACTTTAAAAATAACAGCACTGTGTCCACATCAAGTGCTTTGGGACTTGGATTATACACTGGGCAGTTTTGCGTTTGTTTTTCTTTCCTAGGTAGCAGTGACAAATCACTGGGTTAAGAACATACCCAAGTAGGAATGAAAGATGTTCTACCTCCTGTTCTCTCTCCCTGGTGTGCTCTGTGTTATGAAGGAGCATTGTTACTTCTGCATGTTACAGGCTAAATGTGTGAAAACTGGTCAGCCAGTCTCAAAGCAGTGGGCTAAGATTTAATTATGCTTATTATGAAAGGGACAAGAGTGCCTAAGATGTGTGGAGAAGTTGCCCGCAGCTGCTAGGCTACGTTAAGTATCGATGGCCCTATCATCTTCAAATTGAGAAAAGCTTATGGGTGGGCTGCTGTAGTGAGGAGGAACATGAGATGTGTGTATGTAGGGTCCCAAATACACGCATGGCACAAAGAGGCTGTGGGTGTCCTGTCTGCCACTGGCAAGTGGCAGAAGCTGAGACTCACAGTGCTGACAAACTGAGGATGAGGAGTATCGTATCCTGCATCCTGTTGAGTCCTCACACTCCCTGTGGCTGTTAGGAATTCACTCAAATTCCTAAAACTTTCAGAGGCTGCAGGGGCAGCCAGGGAAAATAAAACCGGCATCTAAATATAGGAGAAATAAAAGCAGTATATAAATACTGGAAATGGTGTTTCTTCCTGGCTCTGGCCTGCAGGAAGCAGCTGAGTGGCGCTGAAAACTGTGGAGACCCAGGACACTACTGCTCTCTGCTCTACATCTCTACAGGGAACCTCAGCATAACCTTTAGTGTGTGATCTCCTAAATGCAGATGATGTTCATAGCAATTATTTTAAGGTTTTTCTCTCCCTCCTACTGTCAGCCAGAATTAATGGCACAGCAGCAGAACAAGCAAGTGCTGCATCGAAGTGTCCAAGAATGTGTGCCGTAAATATACAGTGCCAGCTTGGACCTCACCCTGCCATAATTTCACAAGCAGAGTGCCCTTGTGGATCTAAACCCTACCCCTCATCTTTTTGTTAAGAGGGTCCCCTTCTCAGACCATTTCTTCCACCCCAGCACATCCCCTCTGGACTTTCATACTGTCCCTTGCTGCCATACCAATAATTCTCCTTGTTTTTTCTTCACTGAGTTCCTTCCAGAGAGCCTAGGAGCGTGCAGCCATCAGGCCTGGGCAGTAACAGGATGGTCTTTCCAGAAAACAGCAGGCTGCCAGTCAGCTGAAATGGAGGATTATAGGATTCTTAGGTTGGGAGAAGAGTAATGTGTAAAGCATGGGGTAGCATTACCTGCCTCTGTTCATCAACAGCCAGGCTCACTCTCAGCCCCACACACTTCTTGTTGCAGCGCTCAGAGATTTCTGAAGCTCTAATGATGCTGTTAGCACTTCCTCCACTTCTAGCTGGCTAGGAGGCATTATCATTTGCTGGCTTTTCCATTCTGTCATTAAAGTAGTATTTTTAATATACAGGTAGTTCCTTTTCACCAATCTAGAAGACACTAAAAGCAAAAATACATTAAATGAATCTACTGAATTATTGCCCCAACTCTGCTAAGATGAGTATGCTTTAAAGTATTACTGACAAAACAACTAAGGAAAAGACAGCTTTAAAAACTACCTTTTTCAAAGATGTTTCCTTATCCAGACTTTTCTTATCCCTTAGTCAGCCTGTATTTTAGCACAGTAATTTTGCCTACCCTCCATCACACTGTGCCTTACTGGAGTGTCAGAACCAAATCACAGTCATCAGCAGTCTTGCTGGCTGTTCACTGTTGCCATCTTAGAGCAGTTCACAGCTCCATCTGCTCCTGCAAAACGAAGATGATATTGATAAAGAAGATGCGGAGTAGGAGTGGGTGTTAGGAAAGGATCTAGAAAAGCAGGCTAAGATTACAGGCCACTTCGCTGGATGAAGTGCAAGCACATAGTCTGTAACATTTCCTGCTCCCAAGGATGTTCCTGTCTTAGCAGACAAGTGAGACAAAGGAATTAGAATTCGATGGAGAAACGAGTTAGTAAGAGATTAACTAGTTTGTCCAAGGTCACTCAGGGAGCCTGACAGGCACAGGACTAGGACCTAGTTTTTTGGGTTCCTAAGGAAGAATCAGTCACTAAGAAATAGTGTCCTAAGCTATGTTTCTTAATAAAAGAATCTCGTATTAAAACGTTACAAAAGTAAAAATGCAATTTCTTTACCTTTCAGTTTGATTAATGGATTCTTCACAACGCAACAATAAAGCAAGTTCCTTTTATAATATAGAGTATTTGAATTATTTTTTTTTTTCAGAAACTAATGATGAGGAAAAAAACTTTTCTTTTATTAATTCCAGGTAGATTTTGTTTTCTCTTTTTTTTGGCTGATAACTTCTAGATATCAAAAAGTTGTATTTTGAAGTGCTAGGATTTGGCATGATGCTGAGCCAACTAGCAAGAGACCACCCTTTATAGATAATATAATAGTAGAACAAATTGAGTTTCCAGACCTTAATCCTCTAAGAAAAGCTGAAACCAGAGGGGAAAACTTCCACAGTGTTACTCAGTTGGTTCACCCTATTTGATTGCTGGTCAGTACATGAACCCTATTTTAGAAGTGATGTGATTTCTATCTAAAATAAGCTGTTTACAATGTTCTATGGGCTATTACTGTTTGAATGCTAGTTTCTAAAGTTCTTGAAAGAAGTCTACATTAAAGCAACATTCAGAAGATTGTAGGATTGTTTTGTATTCTCTCTGAAATGGAATGCGATTTCATCTGCATCAGGCTGATTTATACGGAATAATTTTGGTGTTTTGCTTTTGAGCATTTTATGAACTCCCAGAGAGATTATTGACCCCTGCTTAAAAAGTTTGTGATGAGAAGATACACCAATAATAGTCCTATTGTTAGTAATAATGACCATAATGGGCATAAATTCAGCTGTTCTTTTTAGGAGATGAAATATTTTCTTTACTCTTTTATAGGCATGAGTAGAGCTTAAAAGCAAAGATATGGGGTGGGGGAGGGTGGTCAGGATTTTCTGCGAGTTCCCTTCCAGTGTAGTATTGCAGTGTACGACAGCTGCGGAAAACAGGATCACAACCAACCAAGGATATTTGGTGAAGAACAACCACTGAGGAATAATCTAAGGATTACTTTTTAATTATTTTGTCAGAGGTTTATGTACTCATTTGTTGAAAACAGGGGCAAAACTACTAACACTTTCCTTATCACATGGAGTACATTCAGGGCTGCACCTTTATTGTCCACAGGAAATGAGCATGTGGTTAAAGGGAAACATAATTTAAGCACAACAGCAGATTTTCTGTACCATGACCTAAGACTCTTGGGCTTGCCCTGTGCGATAGAGAACCGTGCGGCAGTACTGAAGCTGGCGCAGAGGTCTGTCTTTGTTAATGCTGTACCCGGGATAACTAGGCTGAATGAAAAGCAGGGAGAAGGGGACTAGCATGTTAGCATAGTCAGTGATTTTTGTGGCCTGGGCAAGCATTTCTGCATTGCTGCTCTTTACAGTTTGCTTTCATTGTAAGAAGTCAGTATATATGCTCAGAGACTAGTCACAGGTTCCCAAAGAGAAGAGCTGCAAGTCCCTGAATCTATCATTCTGCTTTAGGTGCGGAAATAGTCACACTGTCATTTAACTTAATGATCATTTGACTTAAACGTGTCATTTGGGAGCTAGACCACACCGTCCTATATAGTTAGGGCTCAGAGGTAGGCCCTTAATGCAGGTTCTTACCTCTCTGCTCAAATCTAAATCGCGAAGTAACACATAGACATGCCCAAAGTCAGGCAGCAGGACTTGGTGTGCAGTGTGGCCAAAAACTGGGAAAACTGCAAAACTCCATTTACAATGGGTCCTGGTACAAGGCACATGCCTTTGGTATGTGCCTTTGCTACGTGCCACCCAACTGAGCCACTTAAATGTGTGCTCAGTTGCCTCAATGGTCAATGGAAAAAGAGTCCTCACCAGAAGACAGCTTAAAAAAGGACCTTGTCTTGTAAAGTCTGGATTACCACCTAGAGCATCTGTTTCCCTTTACCAGCTACAGAGACAATGAAGGGTGACTGCCTTCGTAATTTTAGTATCTGAAAGTTGGTGTTGGGGGCATTTCCCAAACAGCTAGAAAGAAGACAGAAGTGTGACTGCAGTGTGGGCTAACTGTATTCTCACACAGGCCATTTTTATAGCTTTGTGACAGAATATGGGCTTGAGAGGAGCATTATTGCAAGTTTTTTCTGCTGTACTAATGTAAGGTATATCAGAATAGTTGTGACACTATTTTGTAAAACTAAAAAGAACACTAGTCAAAAAGACTGCATGTTTCTAAGATCATCACATGTAGATTAAAGGCTCATCTCTTATGCAGTGACTTATGTATGCCTATCATCTCTTCTCCTAGATCTTCTGCACAGCAGGACTGGTGTATAGGCTTCATGAGATGCAGAAAGATGACAGAAACATAAGTGTTTTGATTTACCTATAGTCTTCTCTCTTCTATTCCTAATCTAGGATTTAGTGGTTTTATGATGTGTTATGTGTCGTGTGTCTGATTTAAAATAATTATTTTGGTAGTCATTCTTGTGATTCCACTTTTTTATGTTTCAGCACTCTTATGTTGATACGCTAGAATTAGTTATTTCTTTTATTAGGTCAGCAGTGCTTTGCTTCTGTAAATATAATTCAAGACCTGTAATTTTCTTTATCCTTGGTGAGATTAATCTCTATATAAATTTTTTTGCTTGTGTTCTGCTTGGGTAATGGGAACATTCCAAAATGTATATATGACATATTTCTTGTTTTTCCTTTGATATAGCATATCACCTATATTAGATGGTAGCCTATATTAGGCTGTTATTTGTTCCTTAAATTTATGGATCAATCCTGCATTTCATGTATTTTCTCTTGCACATTTCTTATGCAAAATCACATATGCGCACACACTTAGAGTCATGGACTTCCAGGGCTCAGTCCTAAAGGCAACCAATTCAACTGTGGTTGCTCTTTTGTTTCTTTCTTATACTCTTTTTTCTCAGTTTTCCTTTTATGCCTGTTGCCTTTTGCAATTTGGCTTCAAGAACCTTTTTGATACAGGTTTGGTAAATATGTTCCATGTAAAACATTGCTGTGGAGTTCCTTTCTTTCTATTGCTGCATGTTTGTTCTGTAATACTGTAATTTGATTATTTGTCCCTCTATTTTTACTTCTAAGTTTCTGGATTTAGAGTGTTAGGGCTTAACTCTTACCTTACTTACATCAGTGTAAGCAAAGAGCAGGACCCCAGCTGTACTAGCTTTTTCCAAACTTTTACCCCCTTTTGGGGGTAAAGGGTAGCCCAAGAATAATTTGATAACACACATTTTCCTCACTGCCCTTATTACTACATATCCAATCCAGGACATTTATAAATAATAGCTAGTAAGCACTAGACATAAATCTCAGCTGAGAAGAATCTTAACTTGAGATGCCCTTACAGCATCATCTGTTGAGTTCCCGTGAGTAAAGCATCACCTCTGTTTTTGGTTCTGGCTAATTAATGTATTTTGAAGATTCAAAGTCACCCTGTACTCAGATTGCTCCATGGGATAGCATGCAGTAGCATATGGTCTCTACTGACTCTCCAACTTCTTCCCCCAAGCAATGAAGAGGTAGTGGCAAG